TATTTATTTATTTTTTAATTATTAACTCAAGTATTATTATTATTACTTATTTATTATTATTTATTTATTTATTTAAATTGTTAAATTATTATTTATTTACATTATTTGCTCTAAAAAATATTTACCCAACGAATAATTGTGTTTAAACATTTGTCACAAATATATTCGTTGTCGTCGTCGTAGTAAATTGTTTTCTAGAGCGAATATTATTAAAAAAAACAAAATTAATGAATTAAATTTTTCAACGATGTCGTGGTAATAACCCCACCCGTCGTGCACGTGCATGCCACGTATGAGTAAATAAATTTTAAAAAAAAAAAAATCGCCGTTTTGAAATTTAAAAAAAAAAAAACGAACAAATTCGCATAAAGATTTTTTTTATACGCGATCATCGGTTTTTTTTTTTCGCGAAGCGATTTGTTGAATTTTCCGTGTCATTAGAAAGTCGAAAATTTATTTATTTATTTACTTATTCATTATTTAAAAAACAAAATTGTTTTGTGCCACGATTAATAATTTATTTGAAAAGTATTTTTTTTTTTTTTTTTTGCAAAAACAAAATCAGAAAAATTACGTGAACCAATCAGCGATATTTATTATCAATTTGATTTTTTAATAATGATGTCATTAATAAAACAGAAATTTTTTTTTAATTTTTCGACCATATGGCATTTTATTTAATTAATTAATTAATTTTTTTTTTTTTTTATTTTTTTTAAAACCAAAGTTTTATTTATTTATTTATTTAATTATTTATTAATTTATTTATTTTTCACTTGTTACGAAATAAGCACAAATTTTATTATTATTTATTCTTTATTTATTAACTTTGGCTTTTTCATTTTAACTTCCCCCCCCCCCCGTAACAATACTAATAATAATAAATATATATATATAGATAATTAAAGTTATAAAAATAGCATAGTTGATGTATTTAAGGCGTGCATTACGTCACGACCTGTTTTTTTTTTGTTCATGATAATTTTAACGAATGGAAAATGCCATTTAGAATAATAATAATAATAATAATTTTCTTGTTTTTTTAATAAGTATACATAGATTATTATTTTAAATATGTGTGCGCACGTATATATATATATATATATATATATATATATATATATATATATATATATATATATATGCGATTTTCAAAAGTGCCAAAATTATGTATAATTAATTAATTATTTATTTATATACATGCATAAATTTAATAATAACATTAATTAAATATTTTTATCGATTATTATTATTATTATTTTTATTATTAAAAATTTGATTCTTTTTTTTTCTCGTACAATTTTTGTTGTTTTTATTTATTTTTGTTTCTTTTTATGGAAACCCCTTCCATTTTCTTAAAATTATACCATTTTGCAACGCGTTAACGTTATGAAAATAGCATAATTGTTATATTTAAGGCGTAAATTACGTCACAACTTTTTATTATAAATAAATTCAAGTTAGAATCGCGGTTTATATTGAGCTTATAACGAATTTTTTTTTTTTTTTCGTGTCATTAGATTCTATCCAGAAAAAAAGAGACGAAAAAAAAATTTTTTTCGTTTTATAAAAATCCTTCGAATTTATTCATTTTAAATATTAAAAAAAAAAAAAAAAAAAAAAAAATTATCAAAAGTTTGAAAAACCATCAAAGAATTCATTAGTTTCCCCCCCTTGCCCCCGTAAAAGTTTTTCTACCGTACGCGAAGACAATGATGATGATGATGACGATGATGATAATAACGAAATTACAAAAAAAATAAATAAATAAATAAATAAATAATAAAGTTTAGAGAGAACGAAGGAAAAATGTTGTTTATATACGGGATACCTGATCAGTGATCTCAAACATGCAGACATCCACCTGTGAGAGACCGAAGAAGACGTCAAAATGAATAATAAGTGGTTTTGTCCGTGGGCGTGTCTGTACCTGTACCTGTTTTTCCCCCCTCGAATCCCTTTTTTAAAGGAGAAAAAAAAAGAAAAAAAAAAAAAAAAAAAGGTAAGACAAAAAAGAAAAAGAAAAAAAAAATTTTTTTTTTTAAAAAACTTGTTTTCCACCGCCGGAACTCTCGCGTCGCGCCTTAAAATAACGACCGATTTTCTTCTTCTTTTATTTTATTTTTCTTTTCTTTAAAAAAGGCCTCTTTTTTTATATTCAAACCGGCACTATAACATTTTTATTTTCGTTCGGCTCTCGTTATTATTGACAACGCGTATGTGCGCCTCTTTAAAACTTTTCCTTCTTCTTCTTCTTAACACTTAAATAAAATTTATAAAAAAATTTTTTTTTTTTTTCACCGCAGGTTTTCAGGTATTTTCGTTACGTTGTTTTATTTTACCATATGTATCACTTGAAGGGATTTTTTTTTTTTTTTAAACAAAAGTGGATTTAACAACCGGCAATGAAATGTTTTTTTTATTTTATTTTATTTTCCTTCTTTCGTTTACGACGCAACGATGAGTTTACGACACGAAAAATATTATTATAATAAAATAAAAATTTTTTCCGGTGTTTTTATAATAATAATAATAATGATGATGATAATGATAATTTTTTAATAATAAAACTTTAGGTTTTGTTAAAGTCTCGTTTAATAACTCATAAATTACGTTAGGTAAAAAAATAAAAAAAAATTTAAAGAAAAAAAAAAAAGAAGTAAAGTCTTGATTAAGTCATTTGAGGGATTTACCCGGGAGTGGTGATGTACTCCTATATAATCGGAGGAGGTACAAGGGGGCGGGGGTTCTGGGATTGAATTTCCTACGTCGACTAAGCGTCCGATAAAGGTAAATCATCGATTTGAATGCCTTGGGGGAGCCCGATGTAGTCAGGTTGAGTTCAAAAAGGGGAAAAATCAGTGGGAAATCAATTTCAGCTCGTCCAAACAAAAACAGACCTGTACCTACATAAAGGGGATAAACGATGTAGCACCCTTTCTAGTTATTGGGGATGCGTTAACCCTTGTTCGAGAGGGTGAAAGAGGGAAATGCGAAGCTGCGACAGATGAACGATCAACAGGATTCGGGACCCCGGACATCTGTCTCTCTCTCTAGAAACTCGCAGACTTTGCGGAAGAGGCTGTCTCTCGAAGGTTAAAAAAGGGAAGTACCGGGATCTTCCTCGGGTGGAATTCCTACTTTCTCGCGGGGGTAGACGAGAAACAGAGAGAATCAGAAAGAAGGAAAGACAGAGAGAGAGAGAGAAGACAACCTCTTAATTTTCTCCTTTTCCCACCTGATTTTCCACATGATTTTCGTAGGAAAAAAAAAATTTTCCGGTCATTTCGTTTTCCCCTACTAAAAACACGAACCTAAACATTTTCAATTAATAATAATAATAATAATAATAATAATATTAATAACAATTACCGTTAATAAATTCATTTCGTTTGAATGACT